TAAATATGAGCACAATTTAAATTAAATAGTTCATAGTAAAAAAAAAAATGGTTGCTTCAAATTTTTAAATGGTAAACTAATCTGCGTTTTTGCTTGGATGGATGTTAGATGCCAAAATCTTGGGATCTACGTTATATTTTGTTTTACATAATAAATAAAAGAAACAAGAAAAAGTTAGTACTCACGGTAAACCTGCATCAAGTACCTCCTTCAGTAGATCTCATAACTTGTCCCTCGCACGAAGCGTTAACTAGTTGAGAATTGCAAGCGTCAAGCCAGGATAAGAGCAGAGCGTGCATGCCAGCGCGGATTTGTTGTGGGTTTTTTTCCAGGGGCGAACAGCTCCGTTTTTTAAATAAGAACACAATTGCATTTCTGTTTTCCATGAGAAGGCTTTTTCGGTGTTTTTGTTTCTTTAATATTGTTGTTGTAAAGGATTTTTGTTGTTTTGTCTTTTGTTCATTTCGTTAACTTGTGTTTATATGTATTTTTGATTTGTCGGCAAATTTTCGTTTCCTTTTTTTTTTTTATGGTTTGGCGTATTAAAATAATGTTTTTATACAATTGGACCGAAAATAGTTTTTTAAATTTACAATTTTTAAAGCATTTATCAAAGTCTGTGGTTCTTGTTATGTGTGTTTGTGTGTGTTGGTGTGTACATGCAAGTTTGTGTGTGTGTGTGTGTGATTTCGTTTATTATTGTTGTTGGAAATAACCTTCTCAACCTCTGTTCCATCTAACATCACTTCAACGTCCTGTCAACTTTCCTACTCCTAACTCCAAAACAGTCACAGACGCTTTTCCGCTTGAGAAAAGCGCATTAAACCGTTTGTTATATGTTTTTCATTTCTGTTGCGACTTGTTTTGTTTAAAGTACGAAACAAATTCGCAGGCTCGATCATCAACAATTGAAATTTAGAAACTACATTATTATAATATTTTTACAACAATTAGTTAAGGTTTTTGGTTGCGATATTGAGTTTGCAACAGCTAACATAGATTTTCGCTATTTGATTGGATTTTTGATATAGTACTTATTCAGATTTGTTTTTTTTTTTTTTTTGTTATAAAACTCATCGCGATACATTTAGAAGTATTCTGGGTTTTTTTTTCTCTCAGTATTCGATGGGTGTAAAAATAAGGTTTTTCGATTTTACAGCTTACAATTTGCTTAAAAATTATCTCTAAATACAAGTTAAAGTTGTTGTTGTTATTGTGGTTGTTGATTTGTTTTTGTTAAACACCTTAAGCTTACGAAACTAACTTATTGATCTCTGATTTGTAATTGTTGTATTTGTATTTGTAATTGTATTGTTTATGAAATTACCATATAATAGTTGTTGATTTTATGCTTAAAAAGTAGACATTTAATTTGGCATGTATTGCGTATACTTCGCTCAATCTCACAAAATGAATTCAATTGAGTTTTCTCCATATACATATACAAACAATTATGCAAATATACAATTATTTACAATCATTTGTTGAATGCATATTTGAAAGTTGCTCTGAAGACCAGTTTAGGTTCTTTTTTTTCTTTTGTTTTTGTTTTTTTGCGTTAGGGTCCTTTTTGTCCAGTGCATATAAAATATTTGTAAAGCTATAGACTCGTTTACAGGATAGTTAAGGGTGGGCGAGCATCAAATATGCAAGAACGTGGCTCTAAAAACAATTTTGACAACCTTAAGCGAGCGCCAAGACAAAATCAATTATACTGGAGTAGCTTTAAGGGTTTGTACAACATCAAAAAAATATAAATATATATAGAATTATGAATGTAGTTCGGCACTAGGCTAGGGCAGCTCTTAATGGAGGATCAATAATCGAATTTAGGAATAAACTATGTGCTTAAACTTAATACATAATGTATAATGTGAGTTATATATGAGAGACTTCTAAGAGCTAGCTAGATTCACAGGAAACAGGACTTTGATGATCATCACATGTGTGTGTGTGTGTGTTTGAGTGTTTTAAGTTTCTGATTATGATTGGTTTATTGCTGTCGTTGTTGTTGTTGTTGTTGTCTGTTGCTGATGATTGTTGTTGTTTGTGTGTGTGCTGTTGTTGTTGTCGTTGTTTCAGTCCTTTGAGTGAATCGGTATCACATATTTATGTCCATACGGACTTTTGTACTTAATGCCACAATCACGATAAAATTTATCTGGTATACCTAAATTACATAAATACAGTTTGCCACAATTATTCGTTGATGTTTTGGCTGTTGCTGCAGCAGCAGCAGCCGAAGTGCTTGGATCTTGGATCAATGGTAGAATGGGTAATATTGAGTACTTGATAGCAACATCCTTAATGCCACACGGTGGCGGATCCACGGCCAGCACCGATGCGCTACAAGTTAATGCCATTAGTTAATACATATGTTTATAGAAATAAGAGAAGGATTTTACCGATTGATGCTCAGCCATTGCTTAATTGCATCCGATAGATTAACGGTATTTGTCGATAGTATCACAAGATCAGGCGTGGGCATAGCTGCAGGATAAATATTAAGACAAGTTCATAAAAGAGTTGAGTATATTGGTTGTCGTCTAGGCTTTACGTACCGTCCACCGAATGTACTATGGTATTATCGGTAGCCTTGAAGAGGCCCACCTCCAAGCTGCTGTTCTTTTCAATGAGCTGCGCCTGCTCCACATAGAGCAGCACGGTCAGGCCATGCGAGGCCAAAAGGCGACCTGTAGCGGCGCCAATGTTAATTGTTCTGTGGGCAAGGATATACAATTTAGTATAGGTGCAAGCTTAGGCAGCAGATAACCCACCTCATGGTGTTAACGCCATCGCATATGATGGCTATTTTTGGCCACTGATGATTATTTGCTGGCGTCAAGCGTCTGGCGCCGCCCAGCAGTGTTATGGCCAAGTCGCTGGCACCCCGCGCCAGCATATCAATTTGTCGCTGCAGCGACAAACCCGCCTTCTCGGCGCTCATCTCGATCCGGTTGCGCACATATGCCGGAATGGTGGGTATAATAAGGCCATCGTCCGTTACAAAATCCTTGCTGCCATCAAAAATGCTCTCAATTTGGCGCAACTGCAGCGGCTTGCTGGCCAAAATGTTCTCATCGTGACGATACTTTTTCTCCTGCTGCTGCTGCTTCTGCACATGGACCGCATGGCGCACAACGTCCGGCTTTTGGTGCGTCGACTCGATGTCATCCCAGATGGCCTGCTTGTCAAACAGCGCCAGGTTGCCCTCAAAGTCAAACTCCTCGTGGAGCAGCGGATCATCGGCCTCGCTGCCAAACGTTTGCTGCTGCTGCAGCCGCATGCTGCTCTCCCGACGCACACGATTACGCCCCTTGTTTTTGCCGTTTCCATTGCCATTGCCATTTGCATGTCCATTGCCATTAAAAGAGTTCGAGTTGAAGCTGCCGCCGTTGCCATTGCGCTTGCCATTGCCATTGCCATAGCTTGCTGCCGCCTGGGCATAAAAAGCACCATTGGTGTTTCCATTGCTATTGCTTACGATGTCAATGGGTCGGCTGCCGCCAGCTGCTTCGGCGCTGCCGCAGCTGCCATCGGCGCTGCTGCTGCAGTAGCTCTCCAAGTTGTTGACGCCGCTGGCTGCTGCTGCTGCATTGTAGGCCGTGCTGCCCAGCTTTACCTCCACCTTGGCCGGAATCATGTTGCCAAAAAAGGCGGCCACGCTGTTGGGCGTCGTCGCCATCGGCTGCTGTGCACTGGATGCACGTGAGCTCTGCGGTGTTCTGCAAAGGCAAGCACAAATGTTCCAAATAAGCTCGTTTGTTTGCAAGGCAAGCCGGAATAGGAGACAGCCTATAGCCAGTTGTAAAGTACCCACCCAATTGTGCGCCCGTCTGTGTCCTTACTCACCTGCGCACTCCATTAGCGCCATTCGCATTTGAGATGAGCATCAGCTGCTGCATTTTATCACTCAGCGCCGAGTTGCTGCCAGCTGCAGTTGCTCCATTTTTGACCACGTTGCCATGTCCATTCGCCTTCGCTCTGGGCGTCACGGGCAGCTCCTGCTCGCGCTCCAAATGCAGCTGCTGTTGTTGTTGATGCTGCAGCTGCTGCTGCTTGCCAAGAATGTTGGAGAAATGTGGCAATTTGACCGGCGTCGGCTTGTTGATCACCGTCGGCGTGGTCGTCTCGGCGTCCTTCACAGGCTCGATTAGATTGATGCTCTTGATGTCGGCACAGCGTAGCACAACTTCCGCGTTCTGTTTGCGCAAGGGTACGCCGTTGCGAAAGGCGCGCACAATTGTTATCTCGTCGGCTGAAATCTTCTTAATCAGGCCCTGAAACACACCCAGCTCGTCGTCGCAGGTCAGGCTGACCGCACTACCAATCCAGTCTTGATCTGTTAGACCCATGTAAGAACTAATTGTCGAACGCACAAAAATGTTTTTTTTTTTTCGTTTTTAATTTCACTTTTGGGCTTCAGTTTTTTGCCAGCGTTTGCAGTTTGTTTTCGAGCTGCTGTTGCTGTTGTTGTTTAATACGCAATTACCACGCACTAATGCACGCACGTTAATTGGGAACGTAAATGACTTGATTTTATGAATGCAAAATGTGCTCGGATTATTTTGATTTGTATAGTTTACATGAAATGACCTTTTAAATTTAATACTTCATTGAATTTACAAGAATTTGTGTTGTTTCGTTTAAATTTTTCACTGCCTTTCGCATTTACGTTTTCGTTAGTGACGGGCGATATTTGCTTGCAAAAAATCAGAGACATCAGCGAATATCGTGGTAACTGTTCCTGAGACGCGCTGTCACTGTTATCTCTGCTATTTATTTGTAGAAGCAGGCAAAACTATTCATTTAATTAAATTGAATTAAATAAAGATTTCTACTGCTGATACACTTACAAAACAATTGTTTTTGCTACTTGTTGATCTATAAAATTACACTTTACATTTCAATTGGCATTTAACAACACTGCTTCTAGTAAACTGTATTTCTCTACTCTGGCCACAAAGTTGCATTGGAAAGTTATCAACAGACATATCGGAATTAGTTAGTTGTCGGATTTTGTCGGGCGTGTTAAGCTGTGAAAGTTCAAAAATTGTTGTAATATTTGTGTGGAAAAAAATAAACAATCAATTTATCTATATGTGAAACGGAAGATGTAACCGCGATTAAGTGTTGACACGCGAATAAAACGAAACCGAAGCGTATCGTGTAGTTGGCAGTGCAAAAAGATGTACGTGAGATGAGTTTTCCTCAAGTATCAGCGCACACGCACACACATGCACCTACCTATATGTATATGCATTCATAAATTGCACAAATACATGCTCACATTTATAGTAGAACAATTTAGTTAAAAATATAGCATAAATCAAGCGAAATTACTGTGCAAGTAAGCGCGGCAATCAGTGTGTGTATGGCCATATGTGTGTGTGTGTGTGTGCGTCCGTATCTGTGTTTTTAACTTTAAAGATTAAGTAAAATAGAATAAGTGTAGAACTTTGCTGCCATGACGGAAGCCGGCCAGGTCGACACGGCGTTGAACCCTTTGCGCTTGGATAATTACTTGGCTTTATGCTTTGCTGGTCATATGAATACTATGCGCACATACATAGACACCTGCGCGTGTGTGTGTGTATATGTTTGTGTACCTTACAAGTACCGTTCGTTGTACGCCTTTGTTGTCTACTGTCTCTTTGGCCTTGCTATGCAGCAGCTTCCATTTATTCGCACCTCTTGCTATTGTTATTGTTTAAGCACTTTTGTGTGTTTTTCATTAAAGATGCACTTCCGTTGTCTCTTTGTCTCCCTCTCTCTCTCTCTCTCTCGTTCGTTTTGTTGCTGTCTCTTTCATTGTTTTTTTTTTGTCGTTTTTTATTGCAGCTGCAGATCGTAGGCCTTACACAATGTCAGCACGCAGCAGCGTTGTGACTGCGTCCTCGTCAACGGCCGATGTGCCACGCCCGCCGCCACGTCGACGCGCCGCCTCTGTGGCGGGACAACAGCAGGCGCAGCAGCAGCGCTTGGATTACAATAACGGACACGCGCCACGCAGATCGTTGGCAGCTGTGGTGAGTAGCTGCTGCAGGGGGAGGTCAGTTTTGGGCTGCAAGTGGGAACTTTGCCGCTTATCAGCGTTTTTTTTTTTTTTGCTTTGTTTAGTGCTGACACACACAAGAATACATGTATGCATACTTATTTTTACGGTGTTTTCACAGTCAATCTAATCTCTCCAGACTATGGAAATCAACCCTAAAAACATCTGTGACTTGCATTAATGTTCTGGGGGGAAAGGCGAAATTACTTGTTGATGTTTTAAAATACATTTAAGAGTTTCAAATGAGGTGAAGAAAGAGAGTGGGAAAGAGGAAGAGTAAACAATAAATAAGAGTAGAGAATGAGTAGAGATAATTATTATTAGATTGGCTAAACAACTTGTTAATGCACAACACTTAGCTCTAAACTTGAACAGCATTCGATATAAAAGAACATACACAAGCGTGTATGCATATGTGCATGTGTGCAAACATGCATGCATGCTTACATGTATGAATACATGTCCGGATGCATGCACAAGCACACATACATACCTACATACATGCATACACACACACACATACATACGCATACGCACACACACATACACCCACACATACATACACACACACACACACACACATACATACATACATACACACACACACATACATACATACACACACACATACATACACACACACATACATACACACACACACACATACACACACATACATACACACACATACATATACACACACACACACATATACATACACACACATACATACACACACACACATACATACACACACACATACATACATACATACATACATACATACATACATACATACATACATACATACATACATACATACATACATCTACATCTACATACATTTCCACTTACCCGCCCGCCTCCTGCTCCACCGGCTCAAGCTGCTCCTCCACAGGCCGTTTCCTGCCTAGTTGAATTTCAGCAAGGCCTACTTGCATTCTTGAGAATCGAGGAGGAGAGCACTTGGTAGAAATTCAAATTCGACAAATAAGCTTGGTCTGCGTTTTGTATTAGAAATCAAACATGTATGCGTACATATGTACATAAATGCATACATACATGCATGCATACACTAACACACACACGACCACATATACACACACATATATAAACAATCACACACACACATCTATATAGTTACTATATGCCTTCGTAGCTGAGTTTGGTGTAAGATAACGTGCATATATCACGCTTTACAAATGCAGATATACACACATACATGCAAACACATCCATTCATACATACACACGTACATCATACCTATGCACACACACTACTAAGGTTATAAATAAAACTGGTATAAAACTGGCTGAAACATGGCATGAACAGCTATAAGGTTTACTTAAAATATCACGTACTAGGGTAATATTTAAAAATAAGTTTTCCTTTGCTAAATTTTACACTTAGTTATCGTAAAAGTGGAATAAACTTGTGGTTTATATAAACACAACACGTGTACGCATATATTCACAGACATATAGATAACAATTTCGAAATTAGTTTTTTGGTTTTCTATTGCAAATCAAAGTGCTTTTGATACCACAAAAGAACACAACATTCTCAACCTTTAGCAACTTGCAGGCAGTTAAGCATTTTTATGTGTGCTTTTGTGGCCCGAGATAAGGTCTTGGGCACGATAAGCGTTGAGTGTAATTATCAAATTCCAGAGATCTTTAAAAGACACGTTCCTAAGTTCTGAACGCTGCTGTAATGCCAGCTCCAATGAAAAATCGCACTTTTGCGCTTTTCCTCTATAAACAAACAACTAGAAAATGCTGCCTTATAACAATAACAATAAACATTGACGCCTTGAAAACAAACAACAACAAAAACCCACTTAAAACCGAAGTCTTAGTGCTTATTTTTGTTAGGTTTGCAAATTAATTTGCTAATTGAATTTATAAACAGCAATTGTCTGTCTTGAATGGCACTTGAATGTGCGTAATTTGAGCTCTCAATGAAATGAATTGAGCGACTTTCAGCTACAGTGAAGACTCTGCTAACAGACAGCAGAGCATAAACATGTATAAGAGTACTATGTTAAAATATAGAAAAGAATAAATGAGCGAATGTTCTGCTCTTCTATTTTAGGGAAATATGTTAAGTGGACCGAAAAATAGATGTGAAATGTAGTTGTTAACTCACAGCAGCGTTCACTGTATTTGTTAACACTCATTTAACATGCTGTCAAATAGTCGGGCAGCTGCTTTTATCTTCGTTAGTGAGTTTGTGTTAACCGCCCTCCAAAACTTAACAAGCTGCAGTTAGCGCGTTTTTCTGCTCAGCGTGAGCTTTTTATATTTTATTCTTCAGCTAAGCGCTTGCAATTGTTGTAGTCAGAGTTTCGTAGTCGCGCAGTCTAGATAATTGCGTCACAGTCATAGACACGCCCGTCAAACGTCACAGACACATAGTTGCCGGTGGGTTAGTACAAGTCCATTAATGCGCTGCTTATCGTGCATCTACTTATTTAAATATAGAAAACTAATGCTTGACGTAAGCCGGTTGCAAACAAATGTTAATTATAATGTGTTGACGCATATTTGGCTATGAGTTGTTTTTGCGTGGGCAATGTTTTAAATACGGTACTTCATTCACATTTCCCTCTTTCTCACACACACACACACACACGCACTACACAGTTAACCATCAACACGCAGCTATTTACTTCAAATCATCTGTTTTTGTTTTGTTTGCTTTGCCGCCTGTTCGCGCAGCAGCTGCCAGCGACTCGTGAGCTGCGCTGCCTGTTTTGAAAAGCTCGCGCGCACATACAGCTTTGCCCTTGGAGTGGTGAAAATACTGCAAACGACACTTTGCACAATGTGTACACACTGTTTGCATATGCGTTTGTTTATAATTGAACTTATTTTTTTAATTGTTTTGTTTATTTATGTACTTGCAATTGCAAGTGTGCTGCTCATTTTCTGAAATTGTATCCATTTTATTTAGCCGCATTTTGGTCACACCATTAACAGCGGCGGCACAAAAGCTTTTTGGAGCGCATCTCGTCGCTCGCTTAGCATTTATTAGCTTTAAGCATTTGGCCACACTGTTTTGGAGCACTATTTTTAGTTTAGCTTAGAACGCGAGAGCTCCCGTTACAGGCAGCGGCAACTGTCGTGTTGTTGTTGTTGTTGTTGTTGCTGCTTCTACAAATACAATCACAAGAAAGTGGAAAAGAACATGTTTCTGCAATAGTGTTGGTGTGTTGTTGTGTTGTTCTGCTTGTTTTTGTTGTTTATTATTATTAATACTATCGTTGCCTTTGCGCTACGGCTGTTAATGAGAGATAAATAAATGAATAATTGAATTATGTACATACATAATAATAAAAAAAAATATATGAAAATAAAAATGCCGCGTGCGTTTTGAAATACTATTGTACACAATTCTGTGAAAATGTGTTAATTATATAAAACAGCCGTACGTACGTAGATACATACATATGTGTACATAAAAGCAACAGTCAGTCAGTCAGTCAGTCAGTCCAGCCTTTTGCTGGCTGCCGTTGTCGTGAGCTAAGAATCAACGTCGCAATGTGAAAACAAGATTCGCCATCGCGCATTATTGTGGCTCCCGCTCCCGCTCCCGCTGCCGCACCCGCTGCCGCACCCGTAGCCGCTCTCCCTGCCGCGAATTGTATGGGCTTTTGGGCTCTGATTAGTCATACACATACACACACACACACACACACACACACACACACACACACACACACACACACACACACACACACACACACACACACACACACACACACACACACACTTACATGTGCCAAAAACTTTTACATTTTAGCATGTTTCACTTTGATGCAGACCCAATTTTGTGTACTAAACGAAAACCGCAACAATTATAAATAAAACCAAGAGTAACCGTACGATATAATATTGTATATAAATAACGAAAATACTCAATCTTTGTGGTGAAAACCTGTTCGGTTCTGCAAATAAATAAAGGCGCATTGCAAAAGACTCCGAAAAGGCATCGAAATAAAAGTTTTTGCGCCAAAATTGAATTGTTTTTTTTTTTCGGTGAATCTCGTTCAATGCAGTTAAAACCAATCGCTGATAACCCTCAATGTTTATTGCTTTTTTAGTTAATAGGCGTGCAATAATTAACACTCTCCGTGGATTATAAAAACAACGTAAACAATATATAACAAAATATGGCCGAGTCAACAACAACCACAAGCAATGGTGAAGATGGCCAAATTCATGGCTTCAATAACAGTGAAGTAAGTGTGATCGCAGTCTCTCTCCCTCTCCCTCTCTCTTTCCTCTTTTCTCTCTCCAATGTGTTCTCCTACTTGTGCTTAAACTGCAATCAGTGTTGCCTCAAAGTACTCGCCGTTAAAGTTGTGCATATTTATGCAATTAAATTTCGTGAACTGAATTGTTGAGAATCGCATAGACGAGCGCTGTTATACTTAATGTGTTGGTCAGCCCAGCTCTACAGATTTTTGTGTATTTTGATGTGTTCAAATGTGTTCAATACTCACTCAAATTCTCATTATATACATTTTTCGCTCCCTAGCAACAACAATAATTTCAAATAAATATTTGCCCAACTCTGTAAAACGTGCATAATGGTACGCAAACCGTTCTCCAATTCCAATTTACAGATGCTTGTTTTTCTGTCCATCTATAATTGTTAATTACTCGTTACCTGGAACTGGTTTTTGTATTTAATCAAAATACATGTTTATGCTATAAATTAATTCATCTGAATCCATCTGGGCACTGGGCAATCCATCAAGGGGAAAAACTCTGCTGAATTCATATGCGGCATTAGCTCAATTTGTGTAATGAATTTTCACTGACATATGATGAGTGCAAAAAAAAAAATAAAATAAAATCGGAGTAGAGAAATCAATTTAATCAATTTAGTTAATGGTGTTTGACTAAGCTTATGGGCTGTAATCATATTTTTCCATGCATCTTGTTTCTGCGTATTTACTGTCAACGGCAGTTACAAAGTCTTCTGGCATTATATAATGGATGTAGATAAAAATCACATTTCCGTCCGGGCTGCTCGACTTTAAATTTAACAACCTTATCAGACGAATTTGATTATTCACACATATATTTTTTGGTCTGTAATTATTCAGCGAAAAATTCAAAGTTGTGGGCCCTGCGCTCTGCACCTGTCACATGTTGAGGAATCTGATTTGATAGCCAAAAACTTCGCTTTGATAATCATTTTGAGCGAGACACGATAATCGCTTTGGGTGAGGCGCATGCCACGTAAAACGATTTGAATAAATAGGGAGCTGAAATATATTCTTCTAGTAACTATCTATTCATCTATCTATATTGCTGTCTACCTATCTAGATACTTGTCTATCTATCTATCTATCTATCCATATATCTATGCATTTATCTATCCATCCATCTATATAGCTGTCTATCTATCTATCTACCTATCACTCTAGATATCTATCTATCCATTTATCTATCCCATCTACCCATCTTGTTATCTAACTTCTCTTCTATGATAAACTTCACATTACGTTCTATGTGCTGACATATAAAAAATATATTTCTTCTTAAAATAATATGCATTCTGAACAAAAGAATAAAGATTTCTGTATTGCCTTTTTTATAAAAAGCTTGCTAATTATCCGCTGAGTAATAAATATTTATTATTTAATGCTGATATATACGAATCCTCTTAGAACTTTCACGCTCAGCAACTGGTTGAGCAGAATCAATTGGAACTCGAAACCAAAGCCGAACTTTAAACCAAGCTAATTGCCAAAATATATATTCAAAAATTGTTAAAAATAACTTTTGAATCCGACTCAGCTGCAAAACATAAATGGCCAAAGCTCCAATCTATATCGAAACATATTTCGCAGTTGCCAATTTTGGATGTGGATTAAATTTAGCGCGTCTTTGGCATATGAAAATATTTAAGGCTTGCAATACTTTCAGTAGACAGTAATATATATAAAATAGATTTGCAGCTCAAACTGGGCTGATGATTGTGATAAACTGAACTTACAAGCTGCAGCGAGTTGGTTCACAGCGTAAACCGAACAATCGATCACTTTTAACTGGGCTCATTTAAAAATCCAATCCTGAAACATAATGTACATGTTCCTTGTGCAACAATGGAACAAAAATAATGTACATGTTCTTTCTCTAGATGTATAGATATGCAAGTTTTATGGCTTGTTACTCAAGATCTGAATATATATATATATATATATATATATATATATATATATATATATATATATATATATATATATATATTGCTATAAGGCTGTTAAATGTGATTAGCTTGTTGGCCAGACAGCTGTCTGCTGCACAGTGGGGCAATGCATCACCACCAGAGATTTAATGGCTGAAAATCAATTAAACTTGGGGCTTAGTGTCACGGCGCCAAAGAAGGGTTTGGGCTTTGGGTTTTGCTCTTAAGCCAGCGGGCGGGCTGTAGCTGTTGTTGATTGATTGGCTGATTGATTGACCGCTTGGCTGCTTTAATCGAGGCTCGGCTTTGGGGTGGGCTGATGTATATTTCAGTGTCCATGCTGGCCACAATTCTGTTGCGCGTACTCGTCATTGACACGCTTACAGACTGCAGACCAGGCCCAGAATAACCTGTACTTAAAAGTAATATGCCTTTGCTGCAGCTATTCGAAATACCAATGCAGTTGGCAGTTGGCAGTTGGCAGACAGCGGACAGAAACCGCAGCCATTCCAAGATGGAAAACCCCGCTAAAAATCAATATAACAAGTTCATGGAAAACGTGTCATAGTTTTCTGCAAAATGCATTCGACTATGAAAGCGGAAAATGTGCGCCAGCCACCGCAACGTTGACACTACTTTACATGCTATAGATATAAATAAAATATTATAGAAATAATTCAAATATTCTGAAACAATAATTGGAGAGCTCTAAACGCAAAAACCGGATTGGGAAATACCCTCAACTATGTCTCGAGCTGTTCTAACATATATTTATAGTTACTTATATTTGTATTTGCCTTTTGTATGTACTTGCATTTACTTGTAATTTCACCACAAGCTGTTTTAGATTGCGTCAACGAAAACTTTATTCTTCAAACAACTTGTTTGTTTTCTCTGCCATCTGCATAAAGTTCACAGGGATTAAAGTTGACATTCAAAGTTGTGTGTAGACGTATCAAAAAACTGGAAAATAAGTTTGATTATTTTTGTTTTTATACCCTGGACACATAGAAAATGACTTTGCGCAAATGTATATAACAAAAAGAAGCCTCTTGCGACCCTATAAAATATATTCTTGGTCAGAATCAATAGCCGTGTGGATCTAGCCATGTCTCTCTGCCTGTACGACCGGTCGTATCTCAGAAGCTATCAGAGCTAGAGACAAGCGTTATCGATTTTGAGCTAACCTCTTTGGTTTTATAGGTAAGAGTCATCGAATTTGGTATATAAACTTCTTTATACAGATAAAGTATCTTTCATTCTTTTAAAGCTAACACCCGAACAGCATGAGTTGCATTTCATGTTGGGATAAGAAGCTTTAGGGCATCCCCTAGTCGGGCACTTCCGACTCGAACAAGAGTACCATATCCAAGAGTATTCCTTTGCTTTAGGCCTTGGGTACTGGTTGAAAACTCATTAAAGAGAAATTAATTAACACTAAAACTTAACTTTAAAGTCGTGTTATTATGTACTTTTGTGACAACTATAAAATGTGTATTTAACTCTAATTATATGGCCAAGTGTACTGCACATAATTGGCATGCGAGTGAGAGACTCCCTTGGCGGGTTTGTGCTTGGGTCAAGGACAAGAAGAATAACATACACACGCACACGTACACAACATCTTGTGTTTCAGATGTCAGCAGTGAAGTGCATAAATTAGGCGCGGCAGCAACGCGGCGTATGCGTAATCACTGGCATTAAGTATACGCAGCTTATGGCCGGCAGCATTCGAGCTTAAACACAAGCATATGCTTGTGCTTTATATATAGAGCCCATACACATCTACATGTATATATATATATATATTTGCATACATGAATAAATGTATATATCAGTAGGTGTCTGGCATTTTGTGAGTTTTTGTTGTCGCTTTGATATCGGTTGCATGTGGCAAGCAGAAGTGGCTCATTTGTTGCACGCTCGGCTGTCTTGGCTGGCGCTGTCTTAAATTGTTGTCTTAATTTTTTTTGCACATTTTTCATTATATATATTTTTTTTCTGTTTTCGTTACAGAACGACACTGGCGACTCGTGTCACCTGCGCATTGTTGTGCTCAGCGGCAAGTCCTTGGCCAAAAAGGACATTTTTGGCGCCAGGTAAGTTCTGTCTAGACTCCACCCCATTTGCTACCTGTAATTAAACACGTCTCAATCTCTGCTATTTTCCAGTGATCCGTATGTCAGAATCGATTTGAATACAATCAACGGTGATATTAATATTGACTCGGTTTTAACTAAAACCAAAAAGAAGGTAATTACAAATGCCGCGAAACTAGCTGAGGGCTCAGCGATTGGTTGCTTTATCTTATCGGCCGTCCATTGTTGCACCTCTATTATTGCTCGTAATTTCCTTTGCCAAAGTCCGGTGTAAATATTTTTGAAAATGCTGGGAATGAGTAATGCTTGAGAAAAGTTCATGTCACGCTCTAACGCGGGGGTTTTGCTGGGAAAACTAAACTGAACTGGCAAATGCTGGTTCTAATCAAATTGAAATTCCGGTTCGAACCGGTTAGATTGATAAAAACGCTTTTCCCTCTCATTCCCGGCAACTAAAAAGTTGGGCACTTGAACTTTAAAGTGTGCAACTGTATAAAAAATATAGGCCCATTTCGATCAAATCGATTAATATCGATTTTAATAAAGGGGTGTTCCAAGCATAGCTCGAAGATTATACAACACAGTTATACAATACTTGACATATAAGTGCTTGTGTAGTATATAAAATACGAACGGGGTTTGAACCGGCAAATGCTGGCTCTAATCGATTAGAAATTGCATTTCAAAACGATTAGATTGATAAAATCTTAAAACTAAAAAAGTCGGAGGCTTGAAAATAGGTATATTCTCATATGACTAGCCCGATTTACATTAATCGATAAATATCGATTGATAAAACCCTTGTTTCCTTTTGATCCTGGCAATTAGACATGTTGAAGACTCGAAGCTTAAAATATGTATTCTCATATAAAAAACACCGGGTCTTATTTTCGTTAAATCGATCAGTAACGATTTTAAAGCAAGGTTTTTTAGGTAAAATATCGATAAATATCGATGTTGAGGCATCCTTTTCTAATCATAGATTAAAGATTAATTAAGCGACATATAACGAGTATTTCATTGAAGACCTGCCCCACATTCTGCCCAAAATGTAAAGTCCCAAACCCTTTTGGAAAAAAGTTTCAATGTTTGCAACGGCAGCTCGTTGCTGGGTTCCAGGAATTTGCTAGTCGGAGATTTTCGACTAGAGCACGCGCACTTGTTAATTAACATTTCCTCGAAAATCCCAACAGACACTAAATCCATCCTGGAATGAGGAGTTCATATTCAGGGTAAGCACAGAATCCAAACGCGTTTAAATGCAGCAGAATTTAAATTTATATTTGTTCTACGTCTAGGTCAAACCGTCTGAGCACAAGCTGGTGTTTCAAGTATTCGACGAGAATCGCTTGACACGCGACGATTTCCTGGGCATGGTCGAGCTGACGCTGGTGAATCTGCCCACGGAGCAGGAGGGCCGCACGATTGGATCACAGAGTTATACGCTGCGTCCGCGCAGGTCAGTAGGGTATGTTTATTTGAGTTGCAGTTTGATTTCCTTTATTTAATTTCAGTTCATTTAGACAACAGCATAATAAATATATAACTAGTAACCTATCAAAGTAAAAGACAAACCAAACTAAATTGTAAACCTTAGCTGGCAACAGACCAAAAACCAAAGAATATTTATCAAAAATAACCTAAACTAAGCTATCTAGAGATTTATTTGTAATTAGATGTTGCATTTCGTATTGCTTCTTCAGATATCTCGAATACCGCACTAGAAACTCGTCTATCAATTATTTCCATTCGCTTTTTAGTTGATGTTTAGACAGCGCTTTGTGTATATTTGTTTATGGTTTTGGAATATTATTATTATTATAATTATTATTTGTAAATATGTGTGAGTGTGTGTAGAGTGTAACTGTCTGTATTGTCTATTTGCTGGCCTTCGGCAGCTTAATGTGCATTAACATTCTCATTCAGTGCTCTATTTAACTATATGTTTATTTATGTCTCTATATATCTATGCAAATATAGCGCCAAATCACGCATCAAGGGCACCCTGGAGATATATCATGCCTTCATACGCGAAACACGCGAACCGAGCGAACCCTCGAGCAACAACAGCGACGCCGAATGGGAGCATGTTGAGGCTACAAATGCCGGCGAGCAATCAGCACAGCCGGTAAATAAACTACACCAACCATTCACAGCCAGCTCTCTAGCTACTATTAAATGAATTATTCACCAACCTGTCTCTTTGTTGTTGCCCGATTAGCATCCATTTCCTAGCGGCGGCACGGATGCATTGCCCGCCGGCTGGGAGGAGCGACAGGACGCAAATGGACGCACATACTATGTGAATCATGCGGCGCGCACGACGCAATGGGAGAGGCCAACCATGTGAGTGTAACCTATCTAAAGACAACTCTCCTGACTGACTGACTGATTGATTGATGATCAATGCACAGCACGAGCTGAACGCATTTAGAAAGCTGAAACGTAGACTGCACTTGACTTATGTGCTAAGAGGGGCACGTTTGGAGGGGGTTTTGGAAAGTTCCACCCGAAATTGTTTCATAATTATTTACATTCCTTTTGGGAATGTAGTTTAACATTTGGACTGGACTTTCACAATTAGTTAAGAGTTCTACGAAATCAACAACTGATTTCTAATTATCTTTGCAGCTTGACTAGCAACAATAGCCAAAACGTTGATCAACTGGCCTCCGATTTCCAAAGACGTTTTCACATAAGTGTGGATGAAACGGAGTCGGGACGCGGGCCGGTAAGTGCAAGCAAGTCCTACTCGAATGCAACCAAAAAAAGACCTTTGTTTATTTGATTTAATTAACAAACAATGCAAAATAACAACAAATACTATTTATTACTACCAATTTACAACTATATTGTGCTGCATGTGTGGTTAACAATTGACTCAATTGTTATGCATGATCTTTATAAACTTTCTAACAAACACACCCACAACACACTCACACACACATACACAATTCACCTGACACATCACCTGTAAATTAAACGTTGTGAGCCTTTGTCATACACTCAAAACAACAACAATAAACAACAAACAGCGAGCCAATGCAAGGGTCGAGAATAGCGCTGACAGCGATCAGGAGGAGGAGGAGGATGAGGATGAGGAGTTTTTGGCTGAAACGGCAAATAACCAGAGTAATTGTCTGCACTGCGGCGAGCTGCACGATGAGCACTCGGAAGAGGCTGAGCAGGAGGAAGATGATGAATCAGCCGCAGCCAGCGAAACAGATCGTCAGCTAACACTGTCCGACAATGCGCAAACTTGTGATATACTCGACCACAATCTGTACCTGAGGCGATTGTTTGTAATGCCCAACAGTCTCTTAGCGTCTATATGTATATTTGGGATATGTGTCGCTAGAATCGAAACCTTCTATTGATTTTCTAGCTAATGTGTTGCCTGAATCATTATTTATTTACTTAACCAACTATTTATGTAGTCTGCTAGTTGATGTTTATATTTAAAGCTACTTAAGCTCTGTTTGTTGATAAAAAGTTTAAAGAAAACTTTCGCGTATATATTCCAGATCAGCATAAAGCAGCTGATTGGGCTATGCCCAAGTCCTACTGTCTAGGGCTTTAAATTTAAAGATTATATAGACGTAGTTTTGTATCTTTGCTATAGGCAATACACATATCGAAAGTCTGTCAGATACGACCATAATATCATGCAGCTGCCATGGAAATAAAGTTTTTGTATTCAAGATATGTTTTCAAGCTATCTTAGGCAAGGCTATAACTAGCAACAAATAAAATCCCTCAAATATCGAGAGGCTTTAACATATGGCCTTAACGACAATAATAGTGTCTGACATTATCTAGGGTTACAATCCACAGGAACAGTAGATCATAATTGAATTAATTAGAATAAACTTTGAGAATAGCCCATAGTTCAGCATAACTTTCAACCATTCCTGACATGCATCTAATATACACTCTCTATCTATATACGCACATGCTTGTCATGCCTATATATATATATACGTTTACACTTAGGATACGCGCAGTCTCTTGAGCATAGAGGACAATAACAATACAACGCCCACAGCCACGACACCAACACAAATCTCACGCAGACAGTCGCAAGCATCAGCTAACAGCAGCAACAACAACAGCAACAATTGTGATACAATAGTTGAGCAGGCCGAAATAGAACCCGACCAAGTGGTGGACCATGCCAGGTTAATATCCTTAACTCTGTGTTAGCATTCGATATATCCCCCCTAAGAAGTCGGTTATTCTGGGGTGCCGCCCTCTGTTTGTGTTGTCCACAACCTGTTCCATGGCGTGTGCCTACGGTTATACCTCCCTACCCGCCCCTTTTCCTTCCCCCACCCATGTTGTGGCCGTCGCTTTAACTCGTATCATTTGAACTCTTTACAAATTCAGTTTTGTTTACAATTCACTGCAACATCGCGACACTGGTAGGGAGCCAGAAATCTCGTCGACCAGCCTGCAAAACGATTTGAGACCGGTGCGCCAGACACCTGGCCACATGGTCAACACGGCCATAACGAATCTATTGACGCGCCGCGCCAACGACAGCAGCCTGGGCCGCCAGCAATTGGACATCAGGCAGCAGAGACGACGCCAACTTCAGCTACAGAATAGACAATTGGTTAGCATACACTGCGCTACATAGTACACAATCACACACACACACACACACAGTCATAAGTATTAACTATCATTTTTAGTTTGTGTTTCGTCCTCTTCAAATTTGTGTCTCAGAAACAAAAAATTGTACTCTTCTCGCGTTGTTGTTGTTGCCTTTGCTGTCAAGGATATTTGATGCCAAAACCATCTTCGTCCTTATATTAAACTGTCCCAACCCAAAGAGGGCACGAATCAACTTCAAAATGATAGTAAAGCACAATATCAAAATATTGCATTCGCTTTAGCTCAAAATTTTCCATGTTTATAACAAAAAAACAAGTAAAAATTGTGTCAGAAATCTTTCAACTGCGGACAAATTTTGGATGGGCTTAAAATGGTCGCGTGTCGCGGCTAGGGTAAGCTATGGGAAAATACACTTCTATTAAAACTGAAAGCAAAACTATAACATTTGACATTCAAAATTTCGACAACAAACTCAAGAGCACGTGTAGAAAACGTACAGGTATTTAGATCCAGGTGTTATGTATATAGTTAGCACTTTATCTAACTTATCTGCTTATTATAGTCCTATGCATGTTTGCATTTAGGTTGTAAATGCTGCCAGGTTCTGTATGACATACTTTGTACATCATTTCATTGAATCCATCTTTTAAAAAAACTACCACACTTTGCCCATCTGTGTTTATAATTTGTGTGTTCTGGTTGTAGTCTCTTGAAGAAATATGTATTTATGTCTTTTATATGGTCTCTTTAATTGGCTCTGCAATCTATGTTCGTGTACTGCTTCGTTCTTTATTTGATTTTTGTTTTTGTTTTGGTTGAGCTTGCCCAAATTGATTATAATTTTTGGAATCGTTTCTTTTCTGTTTCTTCCACGTGCAATAAAACAAAAAAACGACTATAAACAAAACATATTGCATCCATATCGAATTAGAGTGAAGACACCGATCACACAGACAGCCACAATCCCTCAGAGATCTCAGCTCCGTCCACACGACGCAATTCCGAGGAAGACAACGCGGCTGTGCCCACGGATCAAGTAAAGTTCCATTCCATATTCAATATATTTGCCATGTACCTATATCTTATGATAATGCATGTCCTCTTAGTTGCCAACAATATATATAAACCACTTGATTTCGGAAACAATCCCCGCATAGAAATATATATGCAAAGTTAATTGACTTGTGTTTTCTTTTGCAGACCGCAGCCAGTGAGGAGGAAGCGTTGCCACCGCGCTGGTCCATGCAGGTGGCACCCAATGGACGTACCTTCTTCATAGATCATGAAGCACGCCGCACCACCTGGATTGATCCGCGAAATGGACGCGCCAGTCCGATGCCAAATCAAACGCGACGCGTCGAGGACGATCTGGGCCCCTTGCCCGAGGGCTGGGAGGAGCGCGTGCATACGGATGGTCGCGTCTTCTACATAGATCACAGTAAGCGCTGACTTGGCACACATTTAATATAAATTACTTAATTTGTAATCCTCATCTTAATCTAGATACGCGCACCACGCAGTGGGAGGACCCGCGCTTGTCAAATCCAAATATCGCCGGCCAAGCGGTGCCCTATTCGCGAGATTACAAACAGAAATACGAGTATTTCAAGAGTCATATTAGAAAGCCTGTAAGCATTATCCAAGCCCCGACTTAAAAACAAACTAATTTCTGTTCTTGTTGCAGACAAATGTACCAAATAAATTTGAAATACGTATTCGCCGTACATCGATATTGGAGGACTCGTATAGAATTATTAGTTCGGTGACGAAAACCGATTTACTAAAGACTAAATTATGGGTAGAGTTTGAAGGAGAGACGGGCTTAGGTGAGCTACTTCAACAACTATAAAATATATAAATAATTAAGAGTCTACTTTCTGTATACAGATTATGGTGGCCTTGCCAGAGAATGGTTCTATTTACTATCCAAAGAAATGTTTAATCCATATTACGGACTCTTCGAGTACTCCGCCATGGATAACTACACATTGCAAATCAATAACGGCAGCGGTCTGTGCAACGAGGAGCATTTAAGTTATTTCAAGTGAGTTGCAATTTAGATTGACACATTTCTTTATAATAATTTGTGTACTCAACTTGCTTCTAGGTTTATTGGTCGCATAGCTGGCATGGCAGTCTATCATGGCAAATTGTTGGATGCCTTCTTCATACGTCCCTTCTACAAGATGATGCTGCAGAAGCCAATCGATTTAAAGGACATGGAATCTGTGGATACTGAATACTATAATTCGTTGATGTGGATCAAGGAGAACGACCCGCGCATTCTGGAGCTGACATTCTGCCTGGATGAGGATGTGTTTGGTCAAAAGAGTCAACATGAACTCAAGCCGGGCGGTGCCAATATTGACGTGACCAACGAAAACAAAGATGAATACATTAAGTGAGTGGCAAATATAAAGCCCATTTCATGTGCATCTATATAAAAATTCTTATATTTTATAGACTTGTCATCGAGTGGCGCTTTGTGGCGCGCGTCAAGGATCAAATGACTGCGTTCTTGGATGGCTTTGGCTCCATCATACCGCTTAATCTAATCAAAATCTTTGACGAGCACGAACTGGAGCTGCTGATGTGCGGCATACAGAATATTGATGTTAAGGACTGGCGCGAAAATACGCTATACAAGGGCGACTACCACATGAATCACATAATTATCCAATGGTTCTGGCGCGCCGTTTTATCCTTTTCCAACGAGATGCGCTCCCGTCTGCTGCAGTTCGTGACGGGAACATCACGTGTGCCCATGAATGGTTTCAAGGAGCTGTACGGATCGAATGGTCCGCAAATGTTTACCATTGAAAAGTGGGGTACACCCAACAATTTTCCCCGTGCACATACCTGGTAAGACTCTAATTTCGATGAATGCTTGCGTTTTATTTAAAAGCATATCATGTGCTTATAGCTTCAATCGATTGGACCTGCCACCCTATGAGGGTTATCTGCAGCTGAAGGATAAGCTTATCAAGGCCATTGAGGGCAGCCAAGGATTTGCCGGTGTTGATTAATAACACCGGTCCTGTGTGCGACGGCGTTGGCAATGTGGTTGATAGTGCCGAGCTGTGGCAAACAGTCCAGCAGTTATATGAGGAGGAGCAACAACGGCGACAAACTACATCACAGCAAGGACAACAGCAGCAGCAACAGCAACCGCAACAGCAACAACAACTGCAGCAACCGCAACAGGGCAACCGCATTGCAATTACTAGGAACACCACCGCCACTCACTCGTGTACTTATTTGTTCGTTTGCTTTTGTATTATAATCATTTTTGCTAGTTTAGTGCTGTTTCGTATGTATTTTTAGCTAGGCGAAAGCACACACAGCACATACACACACCCACACACACATTCGCTCCAGTGGCAGACCCAAGGTCCACATAATTGGAGCAGACTATATAAGCCCGTAATAATAAATTGAAGGGTCTAAAAATGATTGTATTGTGTTTCGCATTTTGCCGAAAAAAAAATTGTATAAAGTAGAGAGAACCTATATGAAACTACAACAAATTAAATATGCATTGCCTGGACACAGACAGACAGATAGACACAGGTCGAGAGAATCAACTAAGTATACAACAAAATGGAAAATATATATCTTATATAAAGTTTTTTTATAATTGTTATTTTTATGCAATATTCGTCTATAACAAATGTGTGACAGAAAAGTTTTGCCTAACTCACATCTGATAAAGACCATTTAAATGTAACTTTTTTATTCTGTATAACTATTTAAAAAATGTATGTGTATTTAAAACTGATGTTGACTGTGCATAAGTCTCTCCAATTTTAAATGATAAAGTTAATAAATAACTGCAAAACAATGCCACTAAATCGCAAATCAAATTTATGTATATTGTTAAATTTAAATTATATAATGCATTCCAAATGTTTATTATTGAAACAAAATAATTGATATATGTAAAAGCCGAATAAATCCTAAATAAACTTTAAAGTCAAATTATGATAAAACCCGCAGAAAAATATATATGTTTCAAACTGAGACAAACGCGAACAAAAAACAGAATGAAAAAAAAAAAACAATAAAAAACAAATTCAAAAAATATATAAAATTCAATTGGTATTTCTTATTCATGGGCAACAAATCGGGAAATCATCTTTCCATGACCCGAAAGAAACCCACCCCAGAAATGGACTATTCAATAAAAATTAGGGAATTTTTCAAATCTTTATAGAACATTTAATCACACTTCGAGCACTTCCTGATTTTATTTAGATGTCAGTGTGGTGCTTGATCCAATCGAGGTAGCTGGTCACACGGGTGAAGGCAGCTGGCAGCTCCTTCTCGCAGCCGGCAGAGGAGCCGAAGGAGGTCAGACCGATTTGAACCTTGTTGGAAGCGAGCACCAGTGGGCCGCCAGAGTCGCCGTTGCAGGTAGAAACGGAAGCTGGGGTCGACACACAGATGTTGGAGGAGCGGATGGTGGTGCCATAGGTCTTCATGCAAGATGTGTTCGAGATGATCTTCATGTGAGCGTACTGCAAATGGGCAGCAACGCTGCTGGAAGAGTCGGAGGTGCGGCCCCAGCCGGAGGCGATGACCTCATCATCAACGTAGCTGGAGTAGTGGGACTCCTCGCGGGGCAATTCGACGGCACGAATGGCGTCGCTGTAATCCACATGAGGAATGCGGATCAGAGAGATGTCGTTCAACAGAGTCCTGGAGTTCCAGCCCTCGTGGATGATGATGTGGTCCTTGCTGACGCTGTGCTTAACCTTTGGGGTATTGCGGTCAGTGCTGCCCAAATGGACATCGACGGAGTCGACACTAAATTACGAATAAGGGATAAGTGGAAATTCTCTCGAATCGCAGCCCAAATTTACCCATCGGTGCAGTGAGCGGCGGTCAGGATCCATTCGTGGCCAATCAGAGAGCCACCGCACCAGGCGGAGGAGGAGCCAATCTTCAGGGAAAGACCAGCCTGATAAGGGAACTGGTCAGCACGGGCATCGTGACCGTTGGTGATGCGTCCATCGGGTCCTTCCAGGACGGGCGCGAACACATTACGTGGCTGAATTTCCCAATGGCTGCGCAGAGCCGATCACGAGGCATAGGCCAAGGCCAGAGCGAATACAATAAGCACCTTCATGTTGATTTCGATGAAGACTATGAGCTGGATCAAGCCAACCCTCAACTTTTATAGCAGCGGCCCAATCAAGAGCTTGGCAGATGACGCCGCGCTTTTTTTTTTTTTGTGATAGTACAGCTCGTCAAGTGGCACGGGCCACGGGCTGCTCTTGTAACTCTCCCATTCTTATCGGTTAAATTAAAAACTAATCTTTGGTTTTGTTCAATTTGGTGATCTGCCAAAAAGTTAAGATATGGCAAAAGTCCCTAAACTTCACAGTCTCTCTAGAGAGAGAGCGAGAGAGAGAGAGGCAGAGATAGAATTGTTTGCTGAATAATAGTTCTCTATTTATCTATTTGCTGGTGCTTTGATAAGTTTCGCGTATTGTAATATAATAAATATATAATATATATAAATATATACGATTGCTTTCTTAACGTTCATTGGCATTCTCCAACGTCATCAGTCGGACTGCGCTATCTTTTCGAGCACCGTTCTTATTACGCATTTAAATATTAAAAACTGTTTTGGTTTCAACCAAGTCGCGTGCTAGAGTATCTAAAATTTTCCATGGAAAATAACTTCTACTCGAAAGGTATTATTCAAATATGTTTTATCAATCAAATTAAATGAAGGCAAAAGACATTAATATTGGATACTATCTCCTATTATCTCCGTAGCCAGTTCTTAATTGCCTTCTCATATATTCTAAATATGAATATACATATAAATAAAATGTTTGTCCCAACTTGCTGAGCTAGGCAGTATAGAAAAAACGATATACTTTCGTTTTTCTTTACCCTCCGATCGGCCTCAAAGATCTTTGTTCAAATTCATTTGAGAGATGTTTCACATATTTCGAATAATCCATTCGAGAAGCCTTATATCAATTCATGAGAATCGCATAGCAGAGCACAATTTAAAAAGGGTTTTTTTTGTAACACACACATACAAATAACAAATAACAATAACAAATAATCTACGTACACACCTACTAACAAACACACAAAACCGATTAAAATAAAGGGAATTTTCTTACAAATGATGTAAGATCAGTCTAGAGTGTGCAACCTTTTCGTGTAGCAAAGTCTGGAATTTAAATGTCCAGACTTTACTTCTGAAAATCCCTAGCCAATGCACAAACCAGTTGCAAACGCATTCGATAAGCAACATCGTTAACCCTTATGTTAGCAGGCGAGCTAAGCAGAGCCAACTGTCGCAATTCGTGAGAGGAGGAAGTCGCTGTCTGAAGAGCTTTGTGAATGGCTGCCAGAGCACTTGAGACGGAGATATAATATGGTAGAACCCAGCCGCAATGTGGCTAGTCTTAAGAGTTGTCCATTCATTCCCTTGCTCGAGATAAGTTTACTTAAGAAACGGCAAACAAAAATACTCGCCTGCCAATTATTTGTTCAATTAATTTGATTGATTTTCTAGCGAAAATATCGAATCTAATCAGTTTAATAAGAGATCTGCAAAGAGTTCATATTCCAGGATACGTAAAATGCGCACGCGCCCCTTATCTGGCCACTTCTCGAGGGTCCGTCTGAAGAGATACCCCCGATAAGATATTGCTCCAGCTGCGTTGACGTCGGTCGGAGTATAAAAATGATAGATTCATCGTGAAACAAGCCAGAAAGTTCCACTGATACGGATCATGAAGTTGTTTGTTGCATTCGCTGCTCTGCTGGCCACCGCGGTGGCAGCGCCCATGGATGGCCGCATCACCCACGGCGAGGTGGCACGCGAGGGCCAGTTTCCCTACCAGGTGGGATTGAGCATTGCCATCGGCAACTCGGGCGCCTGGTGCGGCGGCACCTTGATCTCCAATCGCTGGATCGTAACGGCTGCCCATTGCACGGACTCTGCCGACTCGGTGACCGTGTACGTTGGTGCTACGAAGATCAAGGAGGAGGAGCCCGGCCAGCAGCGCATCCATGTGGAGAAGCACGGCATCATTGTGCACGAAGATTGGGATGCCGCCAAGATTGTCAACGACATCTCGCTGATCAAGCTGCCCGCCGAACTGGACTTCAATGAGCGCGTGCGTGCCGCCACGCTGCCCAAGAAGGATGGACGTTACTCCACCTACGAGGATCAGCAGGCCTACGCCTCCGGCTGGGGTCTCGACAGCGACAAGGCTGACGCCGTCTCCCCCGTGCTGCGCTACGTGGAGATGCCCATCATGAAGTCGAGCACCTGCAACAAGTACTGGGCCGGCCTCATCACCGACAAGGTCATCTGTATGAGCACCAAGGGCGGCAAGTCCACCTGCAGCGGCGACTCCGGCGGCCCCCTGGTCCACAAGGATGGCGACATCAACTATTTGATTGGCGCCACCTCCTTTGGCCTGGCTCTGGGCTGCGAGAGGAACTACCCAGCTGTCTTCACCAGAATCACCGCCTACCTGGACTGGATCGAGGATCACAGTGGCGTGGTCAACAAATAAACAACACTATTCCATCTTCTGATATTAAACAATAAAATACGAATACGAAACAAATGTACACTCGCTTGGAGCTTTTTTGAAGATAGGGGGAATTTAAAGGGATATTTTATAATCGACAGCAGAGTTGTTTTCAATAAGTTAAAATTTGGGTCTTTCTTAAGATAGTGGGAAATTGAAAGGGATATTTTATAATCGATGACGGAGTACAGTTCATAGATATATAGTTTAAATTTGAATGATATTCCTCTTAGGCTGGAATATTTGAGGGGAGGTTTACGGATACTTTATAATTGTTAGCAGAGTTGGCTTTATAAAGTATTTTAGAGGGGAATTTCAAGGACGACGCAAGGGATATTTTTAGATATTATTTATGCTTTTAAATAAAGTTGCCAAGATATAGATATTGATATAGATATAGAACCTATAGTTCTTTAATATCATCTTGCATTTTTTAAAAACTCACTTAAACTGATGTATGAACTAGTAGATAACCTATGCTCAGGGCGGAATTGTCTTAAAAAATATTCTGATTGTAGTAAAAATGTATGCACTTACCCCATTACTCACATTTACCATTTATGAAGATTAGTTGGTCATTAATTAATTGGTAAAATATATCGGTCTTCACATATAAACACATATTCCTGAAAAAGTAGAGAAGTAGAGAGTTATATCAAGAAATAGCAGGAGATATAGAAAGGGGAGGGTTATTCTCAGAGATAACGATGATTAGATAAAGACTTCAACTTGTCAATATAATACTTACTATCAATGCATGAAAATAGCCAGCCTTGAATTCATGAGAATCGCATAGTAGGGCACTTTTTAAAAAACTTTCTCCAATTTACACCTGTTTTGTGTTTGGCATAAGGAACAAGATTTGCAGTCACATGTTGTAATCTGATTGGATTACAGCACAGTTCATTTATCATGTGTAGGTTCTTAGTTTTTGAGGGTTGAGCTCTTAATAGTTGTTGTTGATAAGGCACTCGATTCAATTGCGACGTAGTTTCCTTAGGTATAAAACCAAAGGGAATGCTTAATGCAGTTATTAATTTGTTGATTCTGATTGAAAGATGAAGTTGTTATTGGCAGTAACTATATTAATGACCCTCCATTTGGCGCAGGCGCGCAGCGGAAAACACAGTAATCGCATTACAAACGGGAATCTAGCTGAGGCGGGTCAGTTTCCCTACCAGGTGGGCTTGAACGTATCATTTGGCAACGCGAGCACCTGGTGCGGCGGAACTCTGGTATCGCATCGATGGATTCTCACGGCTGCCCACTGCATGGATGGAGCGGAGCGTGCTACGGTTTATCTGGGCGCGATCAATATTACAGACAGGTTCGAGCCGGGTCAGAAGCGTTATTACGTGACGAGCTCCCAGATCGTAGTGCATGCCAATTGGACGGCCAGCACCGTGGCCAATGACATAGCTCTCGTCAAGCTGCCCACTTTCGTGGAGTTCAGCGATCGGGTGAGAGCTGCCGACCTGCCCAGAGGTCTGAATGGCAGCTACTCCAGCTATGAGCAGGCCACGGCCTATGCATCCGGCTGGGGCCGGGACAGCGACAGCTCCAACTTCATGTCGCCAACCTTGCGCTATGTGGCAATGCCCGTGATGCCGCACAGCCGCTGCAAGTTGTTCTGGGGCGGCTCCCTGTCCGAAAAGATGATCTGCATGAGCACCAGCAGCGGCAGATCCACCTGCCACGGCGACTCCGGCGGCCCGCTCATCTACAAGGAGGACAGCAACAACTATTTGATTGGCATCACCTCGTTTGGGCTCTCAATGGGCTGTGAGATCGGTTTCCCATCCATTTTCACGCGGGTGACCAGCTACTTGGACTGGATTTGGCAACACATTGGGGCCAACAGCAGGACAGAATCGAATTTTTAACATGATTTATAGGACAAGATGGCTTATGATTAAGTTAATTTATATAAAATTGAAAATTTAACAAGTCAAGGTTCGACAATAAGTTTAACGAACTGAGGCTTAAGAGCGATGGCTTTGGTTTGAGCCATTAACCACTAAAACGCTGGCTCAACTACAAATTTAATTTCAATAAAAATGAACACTTGACAAGTTGTACAATAAACTTAAACAACATTTTCTTTTTTTTTTATTTTATGTTTTTAAAGTTTTTTTTTTTTATTGTTCTTTTGTTTGGGTTTTGAAATTTTTATTCGGACCTTCGATGAGCGCTTCCGAGTATTCAAATTCGAAACAGCAGAACGTTCCCAGTGAAACCCGCGATTTGCGCACTTTCCGAATGCCATTTTTGTTTTTCATCTATGTACAAAACTTAAAAAATAGAGGGGGGAACAAATTAAGAGATAGAAATTACGGCGTACAATTACGTGTTTTTTTTTATACCTAATTACTTTTGCTGCTGTTGTTGCTTGTTTTTTTTTTTTGTTTTTGTTTTGTAGATTAGCAATAGCAAAGTTTTCTTTTTTGTTATTTGTTTTGGAAATTTCACGCAACTTAAATAACATTTTCGATTTTCCAAATATGAATATGTATGTATATCGTATGTGTGTGTGGTTAGTACATAGCTTTACGTTTTTTGTTTCATTTTTTAAAAATTGTTATTATTTTTTTGTTTGTTTGTGGATAGCTTAATGCAATTATTAGAAATCGAATAGTGTTGTAAAACGCGCAACGTTTGATTAAATTTGTTTTTCTTTGTGTTTTGCTCTAGTCGAAAATTACATAAGTTATGCCCTTTGATATAGATAATTTTTTGTTTTGTTTCTTTTCTTTTCGCTTAATTTCATATACTTCATAGCTTTTAATTTTTGTTTCTTTATGTTTTACTTATGCTCGAAACGTTACGGCGTTTAATTTCGCACACATTTTGTGTTTTCTTTTTTGTTTTCTCGTGTTGCACAACAATTTATTATTCATATTCACTTTAATGCTATTTAATTAAGAATTAAAAACAACTGAAAGCTACGTTAAGACAGCTTTTTCTTTCTTTTTTTTTAACATATTTGCTTCATTGAAACACTTATTTCGCTGCTGTTGTTGTTGTTGTTTTTGTTGCAACCATTAAAACTAAAAATTATGCGAATTCATTGTAAATAAAATGAAAATAATCATAATAATAAAAATAACTGAAAAACGAAAAACTTTGCTAACTAAAAATTAATTTCACATAATTTAACGGCGTTCATTCTCATACTATTATTTAATTCAAATAATTTACGTGTGTTTGTTTGTATGTGTGTTATTAGATTACGAGTGGTTTCTAAATTGTTTTTATTCTTTTTTTTTTTTATTTGTTTAACAGCGCACGCGCGCATCTTTAATTTATAATTAAAGCGCACGGCACTCGATTTGCTCCTCGATTTAAATTGAATGTTTTTTTCAAAAATTACGATTCGTTTTTTTGTTTTTTTTTTTTTTGTTTTGCATTAGTTTGGGGCCGTATTTTTAGCTAAGCGGAAATTGTTTCTCTGGTGGCTATATACAACAGTTCAATGTGTGTGTGTGTGTGTGTATAGGTGTGGGTGTGTGTGTGCACTTGTATGGGTATTTGATTTACTAACTTATATACTAAACGGCCGTGCTGCTCAGCTATAGATGAGCTGTTGCTGCAATCGAAAGGAGTTGCTTTTACAATATAATCCTTTTACAAATATTCTCTGTATGTGTATAGGTCTATAGGTGTGTATATGTGTGTGTGTGTACGTACGTGTGTGTGTTTGTGGTTGTGTGTGTGTGGGTGTTATAATTACAAATTAATTAATGCTGTACAAAAGTTTTTGAAGTTTTGCTTGTCTTCGAGTTGATTGATTATCATTATCATTAGATGCTGGGACACAACTACCCGACCGGGATCGGTATCGGGATCGGCGATGTCGGTAGTTGATAGCGGGGTTTGCGCTTAACTAAAATGGTTCCGATTAATAACTTAGCCAACTAATGCATCTCACCAACAATTACGACTACCGTATGCTTAATAGGTTACAATTACATACAAACTATATCAAAGGTTGTAAACTTGTGGTTGGTTTGTTGAAAAAAAAAAAAAACACGACGTGGTTAACTGCAGCGAGAACAACGGGGACGACTCGGGAGCTGCGGGGGCTGGCGACTTGCGACTACGTTGACTACGACTACGTTGACTACGACTACTTCTTGTTGTAGATGGGCAGCGCAGCGGGTACAAGGCCAGCCGCAACACTTGTGGGCGCCATCACCATCGACGCGGAGGAGGTGGAGGAGTTGGCCGTTGACGACGCGGTCGTCATGCTCGGCGGCAGACCCAGCAGGCTGGCGACTGACGCCTGCGTGTTGGACGCGGCGCCAGCACCGCCTAGAGGCGCATAAACGGCCCCGCCGCCAGAGACTCCATTGTACTTGGCATAGTCTTGAGTTTTGCTCTTCTTGCTCTCCTTGTCGCGATCCCGATCGCCGTGTTTCTTTTTGCTGCTGCTGCTGCTGCTCGTGCTGTTCGACGAGCTGTTGTAGCCCCCATAGCCGGGCAGCACGGGTTGCTGCTGCTGGCCACCGGCAGGCACGCCTGCTGGGGGAGCTGTGCCCGGCGCAGGTGGTGCCATGCCAAAGCCAGGCGCTGTTGGCATCGACATTAGCCCTGCGGCAGAGGAATAGTTGTTCGGCTCCACCTTGTTCTTGCTGATCTTCAGTTTGAGCGGCGCGGCGGCGCCCACTTGGAGACTGCCGTTGGGATTGACGGTGGCCGTGTTCGTCTTGATGACCAATTTGAGCGAGTCCATGGATGTGTCCTTGCTGCTGCGCTCCTTTTGCTTGTCCTTTTTGTGTTTCTTGCGCTCCTCCTTGTCCGGCTTGTCCTTGGACTTGTCCTTCTCCTTGTGTTTGTGCTTGTCCTTCTTCTTTTTCTTCTCGGACTTGCCGGCAGCCTCCAGTTCCTTGGCATCGCCCAGCTTGGTCAGAGCATCAAGCTCCATGGCAGGTGCCGCAGACAAATTGTTGCTCATCAAATTTGTGGGTGCAGCCAGCGAATCCTTCTTCATGTGCAGCTGAGTGGTCGGCGGCATCGGCTCCAAAAGCTCGGCCGGCGGCTTCAGTCCGGGCATGGTCAGCGCATCGGGCTTCAGCAGCGAGCCATTTGTTGTGCACAGGCTCTCCTTGAGTAGCGTGCGCACCAGATCGGGCGTTGTCTCAATGCCACCATTCGACATAGACAGCGGCGCATGCTTCTCCTCATAGCTGGGGTAGCCCGGCAGACCGACGCTGTTGTCCAGCTTGCGCAGCTTATCGCGCGGCAAGCTGCCGTCGTGCTCGTCCAGCTTGTTGAGTCCGTATTGGCTGCCGGACATCTCGTTGGCGCGCTTCAGATTGCCCACATCGCGACTGGGGCCCGCCAGCTCGTTGGGCAGCAGCTCTCCATGTGGTTTCTTGTGCGGCGGCAGCATGGGCTTGTTGGCAGTGCTGCTCGAGCTGCTGCCGTGCGGCAGGGTACTGCGATGCTTGTCCTTTTTGGTGGGCGTCAGGCGATCCTTCTTGGGGCTGTCGCGATCTCGCGCATGACTGTTCAGCTTGTAGCCTAGACTGTCGTGGGCAGGTCCTGGCGGCGGCGGAGGCAACAGTCCATTGAATTGCGGTTCCTTCTTAATGTCGCTCCACTCGGGACTGAACAGCGAATTGTTCTTGCCCAGCTGCTGCTGCGACTGCTGCGACATTGAGGTGGCGCCTGCATCCAGCGGCGGCAGCTGCTGCTGCTGCTGCATATGATTGTAGTTGGGCACTGCCTGGCTCTGGCCATAGGGCAGCTGCTGCTCGTACGGCGGCATGCTGTGGACGGATGACGATGAGCTTGATGACGAGACGGATTTATTGCGATGCGAGCCATGCGAGCTGCCATATCCAGCGGGTGGCGGCGGCGCACCATTGTTGCCAACACCTGCGCTGCTGCTCGGGTAACCGCCGCGGGACATGAGTGGATTGCTGGGTCCGCTGTTGCTGTAGGACGGCGGCGCATTAGGATACATTTTATTGCTGCCCGACTTGCTGACATCTTTGGAGGAAACGCCCGCTGCAGACGCTGCACTTGAGGCGGATGAGCTGCTGCTGCGACTGTCTAAAAGCGGCGGCGGCTGCTGCTGCGGCTTGGAACTAGTTGACATCTTGTGGCCGCCGTGGGGTTGCATGCCTACGGGCGGCATGCCTCGAGAGGATTTGTGATAGTCCATGGGCATGGGTAGTCGTCCAGACGGTTGGCTCGACGAGCTGCGTTGACCGCTGCCCGCCGAAGAGCTGCCGCTGCTGCCACGCTGCGCCGATGATGAGGAGCTCGACTGGTGGCCGGAGGGCGCACGACTACTGTAGCCGGGTTGTTTCGATTTGTGATCTAAAAGGGGTGGGTCATTATAAACATAACCACAATCTGTTGCCTCGTATTATGCGTAACATACCTCCGTGTGCCTCGGGCGGCAGGGCGCCTGGATAGTTTGGCAACTTGTGATTCGATGAGGAGGAGGTAGAAGAGGACGAGTTACCTGGAGCACCGCCCACCGATGACGAACGCTGATGACTGCCATCGCTGCGTCTCTGCTGCGAGGGCACCATGCTCGGCGGCGGCAACAGCGCCGACTGCGAAGAGTCGCGGCTGTCGTTGCCGTTCATTAGCTCCGGCGGCGCCGTGATGTTGGAGTGATAGCCCTTCATCATCTCGCTCATCTTCCAGTCTTCTTTCGGCTTGTTGTCTTTGCTGTTGGTGGCCGTGCGATTGCTGGCGCCCTGGGCGATTGCCTTGATCGAGTTGAGCTTGGACTTTAGCCGAGCCGGACTCTTCTCGTAAATGGCAATGAACTCGTCCGTCAGCTGCTTAAGCAGCTCCAGCGACACGCTCTTGTCCACATAGTAGAACCAGTGCTTGCCCTCAGTCGATTGTGGTATCTCCCAGCGCGACCATTTGCAGGCCAAGTAAATGCAGAAGCAGGCAACCACCGTGGGTCGATATTGCAGGCACATCGAGGTCAGATGCAGGCTAACAGTTTCGAACAAGGACAAAGCGTGCATTTTAAATGATTGTTTGCAGTTAGAGTATTACGAATTCAATCATATTTTGGGCGATCATGTGCATGTGTGTGCGTGTGTATATGTATATGCTGGCAGATTTGGGAGCAGACCAAACGAGTACAAAGATGCACAATAAAAAAAAAACATTTGCTTCCCAATTTTGGACATGAGCTGCAAACTCAAGATATTGTAGTTGGCGAGGAAACAGATTAGACCCCCCGACTAGACATGGATGTAGTATTCGGCTTAGCAAAAGACGCCATAATCTTTAACTAAATACTATGCTTATATATTACTTAAAATTAAAATAACTTAAGCATACTTTGAAAACTTCAAAATCGCATATTTCCAAGTACAAAAAACAGAAAAGTGTGTTTTCATGATATAAGTATTTCTTTTATTAAAGGACACTCAATATGTGCTCTCAATAAACATGTCAAAGCTTGCTTGGCGATCAAAAGAAACACAAAATCGTTTTCATAATAAACATACACAAGTTGTGGATTATCATTTGAATATGATCACAATTTATGAACGTGTTAAGACATGTAACACAAACAGGTACAAGAACATTTACCTTCGACGAGCCGAAGTACGAATACCCTTGCATATACATAGCAGATGTGTAGAATATGCATATCAATAACTTATATTTCTCCTGAGGGAGGTATAGTAGATCGATTTGCTTGAAGCATAGTGAAGCTCTTGAAAACAAACTAAAACTCAAGCAACTAATATGAAACAGAGCTCCGATCGGGCCATTTGACATATATATGCGCTGTCTATAGCACAAATACGGATGCATCAAGATGGATCATAAGCCGAGAGAATGGAATTGGAATGAAAACAGATGAGCAGACGGATAAGGCAAACCAAGCTCATCACATTGTTGATATACATATATATATATACACTTTATAGGGAAACGCCTATCACACTGTGCATCTCGTGTACGGCCATCTGCAAGGGTATACAATGTAATAAGTATGTAAGAAAAAGGTGTCATAAGAAGGTCAACTGTTAGCTGGATAATTTGCACAGGGAACAGCATTTAATGACCTTAGCACAGGTAAAGCTGTCAAAAGGGACGCGCGCGCTCAAATGACCTACATGATTTTTGACTCTTTTTGTAGCTGTACCCACACACACACACACACACATACACACACCAGCCCGTCTATACCATACGCTTGGTGGAGTATGCCGGTATCAATATCAGAGATACCTTTGATGCATTAGCCATACCTGTTTGAGGCCAAGAAGTAGGAGGTTTGCGCCAGATCCTTGCATGCTAAAATATATCACAGTGTTATCAATTGACAATTGCTCTAATTAGCACGCAGCCATTGCATTGGAATGACATTTGTATATTGTTGGGATATATTTTGTTTTAGAGCATGGTGCCTACCTTTGACCAGCTGGCACGTGCGCACCACATGCGTGTGCGGATGATCGATGGCCACGTCGAAGCCGAGCGTCTGCAGCAGTACGTTCTCATTGAAGACGAGCTCCTGGGCGAGATCTGCATAGGTCTGTTCGGTTGTCTGTGGCAGGCACTTGTTGGCCGCTCTAATCACATGCTCCAGCTTGCGGGGCTGCTCCTCCACCTTGGCGGCCAGGAACAGACTGGCCGAGGCCATGGAATTGCGATGGAAATGTGTGAACGAGTGGAACGCATAGAATCGATGCATATAAACAATTGCCGTATTTATGCACAGCTGCGACACCTGCAGTCGCTGGCCCATCTCCTGTATCAAATACGCCGTCATTTGTCTGTAGTGCAGCTCATCGTCGCACTTGATGCCGCAGCGGCGACTGGGCGAGTTGCCCAGCTGCTCGTTGCTGAAGTACCAGATTTTGTCCTTCTCAAACGGTAAATTGTTGTTGTTGTTGTTGTTATTATTATTATTGTTGCTGCTACTGCTGCTGCTGCTGCCGCTTGCGGCGACGCTGCCCGTTGATGTTGAGAGAGCGGCAGCGCTCGGGACGCCCGCGGGCGTTGCCAACAAACTCATGGCTCACACGCACAAACAGACACACACGCGTTGACTACGTCTTCTTCTTGTGCTTTTACTGCTGATGCTTTGCGATTTGTTAAATACACATGCAAGCCGTTTTCTCGTTGCGAATCGAAGAGACAACACAACACGCACAGTTTTACAGCGATTTGAATTAATTTCAATAGATGTTTTGGCTTGGCAGCTGAGTCAAATATTGTTGTTGTCGTCGTCGTAGTAGGAACTGTACGATTGAGAAGAAGAAGCAGAGCCAGAGTCTCGTTTTTCTTTGTCGGCCGTAGCAGCAAATGCGTTTGTATTGGTATTGTACTGGCTTGTGGCGTGGTGTAGGAGGGAAAGGTGGCTGACGCTGCTGGCTGGGCTGCTGCTGCTGTTGCTGCTGCTAATGCTGCGCGTCTGCTGCGGCTGCCACAACACATTTGCTATGGAAAGTAGCAAAATGCACACTCGATTTCGATTTTAGTTTAGTTATTTGTGTAGTTTTCACACTTTTTACGCCATTCAAAATCTGCTTTTTCTGCTGTTTTGATGGCGTTGAGTGTGCTCTAGTGTGTGTTAGTGTGTGTGTGTGTGTGGTTTTCTGGAAATTGCGACTGCTCAGCGACGGACATACATAGACGACCCCGACGACGTTCGTTATGCAACTTGTACATCAATTCATTGTTATCATTGTTGTTATTGCCTTTTCGCCACACAAAAACACCTCATTTTTGTTCTATAATTTGCAATGCAAATGCATCGCAAAAATGTGATTTTGGTTTTGGAACGCACAATGACACAAAAAGAAAAAAATGTATGTATGTGTATATGTATTTACAGTATGGCCGTCGCAATCGCATTCGCATATCGATACCATTTATATCGCCATGCTAAACTATCGGCAATGGCATGGCCACGATGCGCGATATTGTGGTGGTATTTTCACTATCGATATACACTGTTAAATGCAGCCTTTGAATTTTCAAACCCTAAATAAGTATAATCAAAACTAAATTTTAGATATATCAAGAACTTACTGTATATGCATAAAATTAAGTATTTAAATGGTATAATAAAAGAGCCATAGCAGTTTACCATGTGCGGTCAACTAACATATGAATAACAGTGCCAGTTTAACATAACAGAGGTCGTGCGCGGTGCGCATGTTAAATAAGAGTACCATATCAGCTAGCTTTTTGACACGAATATGCCATAACGTGTTCCGCAATTGCAAACTTGTTTGACAAAGTTATCATATTAACAAATACTTAAGATAATATAAGTGGATGTTGTTTTTTAGTCTCATTTATTTATGTTATTTATAAAACAGATAATATATAAGTATGTATATATATTTTTTTATAGCAATCTGTAGATTAAAATATACAAAATTTAGCTAAAAATCTTAAAACTCTAACGTTTCCATAACAGTAAATAATTATGCTATTCCCATCAGATTTTCAAATTTCATTTTCCTTATACTGTTGTTAAAATTAAACCATTACCTTCTTAATTGTTGACCCATTAGGTCAGCTACATATCTCATCTTCCGCTCTTTTTCCGATCTAATTTCTAATTTGTGGCTCGCATTTGCTGATTTTAATGCAGACGTTTTTTTACAATCGCCTGAAGAATATACATAAATGAAACTTAATTGTGTAGCATAGTGCTTAAATATGGCTGCACATATGATTAGGTATATATATATATATATATAAACTACATATTATCTCTTCAACAGATTCGCTAAAACCGTTTCCAACCCAACTCCAACTCTCGTTTCGACTAGCTAATGGAGACCTTTGCCGATAATCCAAAATGAATTGCATTCAATATCAAACTTCATAAATTAGCTCACTCGATCTTAAATCTAATTCTCCTTCCCACTTTCATTTTAAGTACCAATAAAGTAAGTTTTCGCCTTAGTTCTGCTCATTCTTCAGATCTTTCTTCTTCTTGAAAATCTAATCTTTAATTTAATTGGTCTTATCCAGCATGTGTTTTTTTTTTTTGTTGTTTTCGATTGGTTCCGATCCAATTCAACAAATACACACATCTATATAATTGTTGTATATATATGTATTAATACGTGATTAATCCTACGACTAATAAGTGAAACATGAGGTCCAGAAGTTGATTATATACAATTACAGTGCACGATCTTAGATTTCGAACCCTTGCAAAACATAATATTTCGATGCTATATCCTTGAAAAAGTTCCAATTGAATTAAAAGAGAATATAAAATTCTTCAAATAAAAACTATTTGCTGTGACTTTGAGTTGTAAAGCTGTGGTCTAAGTTAATTATCGGCTAATCTGACCGATTTTCGTTGCACTTGCGCACATACATATATCTTTTTGTTTTCGTATTGTTCGATTGTTCTATGTGTAAATTGTTAAAACTTCGTATTATGCATTCTCATCTTAAACTCTATAATAAGTATATATATATTTAGATAGACACTTGCTGCTCCCGTTCTCATAATCGAAACCTCAAAAACTGAGTCGTCTGCCTCGTCTCGTAATACAGGTGTGGCCCAAGCACATACTACACTACAATACATGATAATGTCTGGCTTAAGCTATATAAAATGCATCGTCTAAATTTATCTAAAATATTCAATCTGCTCGTAGAATAAATATGGTATTGTATAGACTATATAGACTTTGAATATATATATTTATATATACTATAATTGTTTCATAACTTATCTCTTATATGCACTTTAAATGGGAGGTATATGTAGATTTCAAATTTGTAACGGGTTGCAAATATTTGTATGTTCTTTTGGATCGAAGATCTTTTTGTGTTGATCGATTTATCGATTTTGTTATCGATTTTTTCAAAGAAAGTAAAACGCATGCATATTGAAATAATAATTTTATTTTAATAATAAAAAATAAAAAATAATCATAAAAAATGTTTACAATGAACAGAGTTAAACTCAAAACTCACTTCCGTTTATTATCATTATCATCATCATCATTATCATCATCATCATCATTATCATTCTTCCAATCATTGAACAAAAATCGAAAAACGTAAACTCTTTCATTTTGTTGCTCTAATAATAATAATAATAATAATAGATAATGGATAATGGATAATGATAAAGGTACTTAGAAGAACGCAACTACATAAGTATAAAAGAAATATTGAATAGAATAGAACTAGGAGTTTGTTGGTATCTTTTAACTTTCTTCTACTTTTGCTTTAGTTTAACTTTAGTTTAGTTTATGCATTTAAGAGATTGCACGTTTGGGCAGTGTTTGGAAATTGTCGCTGTGTGTCTGTCTGTGTGTGTGTGTGAGTGTGTGTGTTGCATTTGCAGAACTTGGAACTGTTTTTTTTTTTTCTATTTTGTATATTGGTTGAGTTGTGGCAGTGTGACGTAACAAAAAGCGTTAACAAATATATTTCAGACATAAACTTCAGACCAAAAGTTGTTTGTTTTGTATTTCAAGTTGATTTCGTAAAGAATGGTTATTTTTTTTCTTGTGGTTCATTTTTGCGGAGCTGGTTCTTTTGAATCGCGCAGCTCCGCTAAGTGAACCACACAGAATTAGTTGCTCTGCTGCTCCGTGTTTTTAGTTAGTTTGTTTGTTTTCTGTTCTTTAAATATACAAAACTTAAAAGTTAATAATTACAAGAAAGTTGCTGACCACAAGCTACAACATTTGTTAGGCGCGTCGCCCTGAACGGGTGTCTACTGTGGCTCCAGTTAGGATATTGGGCAGGGTATATAGGTATATATAGGTATATAGAAGAAACACTTAAATAAATAAACTATCGATAAGCATAAACCTAATTAGAACTATGAAATATTTCTCATCTCTTTATAAAATAAGCAACAAAAACAATGAGCCCGAAAACGCACACAAATACAGTTATTTTCTCTTTAAACTACTTTGTAGAACTCGTATGCTACGTCTGGTAGTGTATGTGTATGTAACCGTAGGGCGTAGGCTTGGGCTAAAGGGGAGAAGCGGGCATAGTTAGAGGGGGGGGGGGGGGGAGGGGATTAGGGTAATGGTAAGGGTTAGGTATTAGTTATATTAGGCTAGGCTTTGTTGTAGGTGTATACAGTATTTCGTAGCTATAAGTTTTCACATACACATATCAAATATCAATAAGAACTCTTCATCGATAATCAATCATCAATCAATCAATCAATAATAATAATATAATAATAATATAATAATCATAATAATAATCAATAATAATAACAATATGCATTGTAATAATAATTAAATGTTACAATTAAAACACTAAAGCCAATGAATAGATCATTAATTACTACAGAATTTTACTTTTTAGCATGTTTGCTTCTCTGTATACATAATAATTATTTACTATGTATATATACATTATGCATATGTATATGTATGTGTGTATACATATATACATATATGCATAGGCCTAGCAGCTATGTAATTTATACTCTCTTCCGCGCTTAAATCTGATGTGTCCTCTCTCTTAGACCTAACAAAAACTCAACATGTACAAAAAAAACCCACCTCGCATTGATCGAAACAATTAAACGTAGCTTACCACACACATACATATGCACATGCCGTACAGGCGTGTGTATGCATGCATATATGTAGTTTGGATGCTTCTGCTCTTCATCCTCTCTCGCTCTCTCTCTCAATCATTCTGTTTTATATGTATATTTCTACTATTGCCGCTAGCCGGTTCAGCTCCCATTCTATTGCCACCGTTTCTTTCGGTAAGGTTTACGTCTATTTACATGCTCTCTCTCTCTCTCGCTTGCAGTTGGGCGCGCTCAGACGCCATTGCAATCGATCTCAACTATGTCCTTGGGCACATCGACAAACTGATAGACCAGCCGCTGACCGTCCACCTTGGCCAATATGCCGCGCTGGTAATAGTAGCGCAGGGCACGGCCCATCGTCTCGTAGTTCATGTCCGGCTTGTTCTTGTGCATGCCCCAGAGGCGGGAGACGGCTTTGGAGTCGACCAGCTTGAAGACGCCCTTTTCACGGTTCGTCCACTTGATGAAGCGCGGACAGTATTCGCGATCCTGCAGCAGCTTCAACAGAAACTCCCACAGGTAGGTGGTGGAGCCCTCGCGACTGCGCCGCTTCACGCCCATCTCCAGCTTCGGTTTACGCGGCTTTTTCGCCTTGCGCTGCTGAAAGCCGCCCAGCTCCAGCATATAAGAGAGATCATAGTTGACGCTTGACGTCGCCGGCTGCTGTATGACGCTCTGCGTGCTGCCGGCGCTGAGCATTGCGGCCGCTGCGACGGCGCTGCTGCTGCTCACGACCGATGCCGCTGCCGCCGCCGCTGCCGCTGCCGCAGCATTGGCAATTGTGGAATGCGTGTGCTGTGGTGTACTATGCAGCTGGTGGGGGTGCGTTGACGCCAGCTGCGCTGCCGCCAGCTGTGACTGTGAGTGCTGTTGTTGTTGTTGCTGCTGCTGCTGTTGCTGCTGATGATGCAACTGTTGCTGCTGCTGCTGCTGCTGGTGATGTGACAATTGTTGCTGCTGTTGCGGCGCGTGCTGCGCCTGCTGTTGCTGCTGCTGGTGTTGCAGGGAATGATGCTGATGTGTGCCAAAGCCGTTGGCAGCTGCGCTGCGCTGCGACGACGCTGCCGCTGGCGCATTGAAGTAGGACGTTGTCAGATAGCTGGGCGCGCCAGGCGTGCCAGGATTAACGCCTCCGACGCCGCCGCCGCCGCCGCCACTGCTGGTGCCACTGTTGCCATAGTAGTTGTCGGGCACTGAAGAGGAGCATAAGAGAAAGCGGCAAAAGTGTTAAATTTGAGTGCAAAGTTGCCAGATTAACTAAAACTAATGTTAATAAA